CCATCCCTCCATTCATTACATTTTACCCGCTTCTTCCATTTTGGATCACGGGGTTCGCCGGTGCCCATGTTCGGCAATCACTGTGTGAGGGGCAAGGTACACCCTGGACAGATTGCAAGTCCATCACAGGGCCACATAGAGACAAAAACCAATCAGCCTAACATGCATGTTTTTGGTCTGTGGGAGGAAACTGGAGAAAACTCGCGCATGCATGGAGAGAACATGTAAACTCCACCCAGAAAGGCCCCCGGACTGGGGTTTGAACTAGAGTCAGCAGCTCTACCAGTTGCGCCACCGTGCTGCCCAAAATTAAACCATTGTGAAGAAAAAAAAAAAGATATACTAAACAACTAGGACAGCAGCACTAATTTATTTTCTTCTTCCGGCTGCTCCTTTCTTCAGCGGTCACCACAGCGAACTAACTCATGAAAACTTGGTGATTTTTTAACGCTGGATGCTCTTCCTGACACAACCAGACCACCGAGCTACCACAGCCCTCTGTGTGGAGGAGCGAGCTGCCATCTAGGGTATGGGGAGTCAAACCGGCAACCTTCCAATCACAGGCTCACCTTCTCTAACCTCTGCACAACTACTGCTCCTCACAGTTCCAGGAACTCATCTTAAGCGCAGAGGTGACAGGGCCTTCTCTGTAGCAGGACCAAGACTTTGGAATGAGTTACCTCTGCTTGTCAGACTGGCCCCCTCCCTCTCGGTTTTCAAATCCCATTTAAAAACCCACTACTATTCAGTAGCTTTCAACACCAGAGGATCTGTGTTTTGAACCTGTACGCTCCACAATGGTTTGTCGTCATATTTATTATCTGCATCGTTTTTATGTCTATATTCTGATTTACTTCATTTTGCATATTGCTTCGTGTGTTGTCTGTTGTTCTGTCTGTCCAGCACTTTGGTTGGCCTTCTAGCTGTTTTAAGTGCCCTACAAATAAAATGGTATGGTATGGTACTCCCCTCAGGACAGCAACACTAATATTAAACCCATTTCCTCAGAACGATAATAATTTGTGTTGTAGCATATTCTAATATTTTGTATTGTTTCATACAGTAAAACATTGTATTATTCATTCAACCTTTAGACAGGTTAATCCCACTGAGCCTCGAGGACTCATTTACAAGAGAGACCTGATATCTATATCTATATCTATATATATATATATATATATATATATATATATATATATATACATATATATCTATCTATCTAGATGATTATATATGTGTTTTTTATTATGTCATATTGTATCTAGAGCTGGACGATAATTCAATATCGATATATATCACGATATGCTTTAATTCAATAACGGTGATATGAGTTTTAAGGACATTTTCGATATTTCTATAGGATGACAGCATTTCACTGACGCATTTCTTTTTCTGTTCGGGTTGAAGCGGCCACTTCAGTTTCAACCCAGACAGAAAAAGGTGCGACACGACTACGTAAGTGCGTGGTGACGTAGATGTTACGCAGAGCTCGAGTCTAGAAGGAGTTAGCGGTAGCAGGCTAGGCTAGGCTAGGCTAATCTCCAACGCGCATGAAGTTTTCGCTTCGAAATGAGTGCCCATGACCGTCAGAATGTGACTGAACAAGCTTTCACAAGAGAAGAGAAAGCAGATGACATAACTGATGGGAGAGGAAAGATTAATTTGGCGGTGTGGACGTGGTTCGGCTTTCTAAGATCCGATAAACTGCAGGTTTTAGTCAGTGTGTTGCAAAATGTAACGGAGAGTCGTTCAAACTAGCAGTGGGAACACATCTAACTTGTTCCACTCGATAGAATATGCTGAGTCACAAGATGAAGCACAATAAAGTTTGAGCCACGTGTCCCTAAAACAACAGCCCCAGCTGTATCTAAAGAGAAACCCATGCAGCAAACATTAATATATGTCTATTGATGAGAAGCTGACATGGAAATCTCATGTAAATTACTTAAGAATAAAAACAACTAAATAAAAGAGTTTTTGAATGACAAAACTTTATATTTATTGTATAATGCAATGTTCCATATTTAATCTACTGTATTGAAGTTTGGGGAAAAGCATGCAAAACAATTACAAATCCTATTTTTATTTTACAAAAAAGAGCTATAAGAGTTATTAGTAGGAAGTGCTATGATCACCCAACCAACATATTATTTCATCACTCATTCATTAAACCTTAATTTATCAATTGAAAGGAGCTGCGTTGTAATTCAGGGAATAGGATTATGGAATTGCCTTGATATCACCATAAACATTTCTAAAACAGTTTATATGTTTAAAAAGATGGTTAAGTTAAAATTGTTAGGAAAGTATGATACCATGTGAAGAATGTCTGATGTTTTGTGTTGTCGCTTTGGGATTCAAGCCTGCGTTGTTAGTAGTTATTTTAAATGCATTTTAAATAAGGGGCAGCTAATCTTCTTTTTTTCTGCACCCTTTTCATTCAATGTTTTTATTTTTCTTTTTGATGAATTTCTTTTGTTTTTCTTAAATGAATGAATAAATGAATAAAAAATGACAAAGTTGTAAGTTTTATATTTATTTGATGGTGATTTCAATTTTTTTTCAAGGCTATATACAAATAAAAGGTGACCGTTCATTTATTTGTACAGTTTTTCTGAGGCTTTTCATTTTGTTTATATCGATATCGAATTATATCGTTTTCGACCGAAATTAAGAAATATATCGTGATAAAAGTTTTGGCCACATCGTCCATCCCTAATTGTATCATATATCATATCCTGTTTTAGTGTCTGTATCATATTGTTTGGTATTGTAACCATTCTCTAAGTGTACATGATGCCATTATTTCATGTTGTGTCATATTTCAGTGTATACGTATATTGTATCATGTAAGTCTATATCATATTGTAGTGTTCATATAATATCATATTTTATTGTATTGAATAATTGTAAATCGAATTGCATTGTATCATATATTGTAACTTATTATATTTTATCAAAACTCTGGTAACAGTTACTGTGAATCAACTTTGTGTTGTGAAGAAACCTGGAAAATCAACTAGACAAAAAAGTGAGGGAAAAATAGTCTTGATGTGATGCGATCTTTAAAATAAAAGTAGATAATATTGATACTTCAATAAAAAAATGTTGCCACATTTTTTTTTTTTCATTTTCCTTCCTTTCCCTTAAATCAAATTTGTTTACAACCTGCTTTAAAAAACAACGATTATTGACTGCATTTTCCTTCAGTTCTTCCCGGGAGCCATTGATTTCAATTCAGTTTGGCCCAGTGTTAAAAAAAAACAAGTTGAGGTAGAGACTGCACCAGAATGGCATTGATTTTTCCCATCGTTGCTGTTGGCAGCAATGCAAATTATTATATAAAAACGTGTCTATGTTTTATTAGGATGAACAAAAGAGACGAAAGGAAGAAAAAGAAAAGAAGCGCAGTCTAGGTAAACAATTTGACCTTCAATAAAATCCAAATAAAGAACTATCAACAGATGCCCAGGTGCAAAGAGCTTGTCACGATTACCTGCTGAGTGGGTGCAAACTAATTACTTGATGTTGAGCAGCAAAGAGGATAGCAGGGTGTCAACTACTCTTCAGGTGCCTATTTTCATTCTATTGCTGTGTGCCATTTGATCTTTTCTGTGCAGCTGCTGAGGGCGATGTGTGAGGGCGGATTACAAATTCCTCATCTGGAACTGTTAAACAATACCTCTATTATCAGCAGCCAAAACATGCATGTCATGCTAAATACATTTAGAATAACAAATATATGTTTTGTTGGTTTTAATAGCGTTGTACACAAACTATACTACAGCTTTACGAACTTTTCTCCCAAACTTCATACATTGCTTCTAACTCTACAGTAGAAAACACTTAACTAGTGTTCAGTGGTGAGGCGAGCTATGTTATATGGTCTGGAGACAGTGGCATTGACAAAAAGACAGGAGAAAGAACTGGAAGTGGCAGAATTGAAGATGTTGAGATTCTCCTTAGGAGTGACAAGGATGGATGCGATTAGGAATGAGATCATCAGAGGTACAGCACATGTTGAACAACTGGGAGATAAAGTTAGAGAGACCAGACTGAGATGTTTTGGACATGTCCAGAGGAGGGACAGTGGGTATATTGGTAGAAGGATGTTAGAAATGCAGCTGCCAGGAAAAAAGACAAAGAGGATATAAATGGATACAGTTAGAGAGGACATGGAGGTAGTTGGAGGACAGAGTGAGGTGAAGGAGGATGACTCGCTGTGGCAACTCCTGAAGAGGGAAAAGCCAAAAGAAGAAGAATGGACTGTACTTATATAGCACCTTTCGATCTTATCGAGATACTCAAAGCGCTTTACACTACAATCTGTGCCCTCATTTACCCATTCATACAGCACTCTACTAGATCTATACAAAGACTAATCAGTGCTTTAGATAACATTGATAAACCCATGGGACACACATCAGAAGCAATCATGGGTTCAGTGTCTGGCTCAAGGACAATTTAACATGTGACTGCTGGTGGAATCGAACCTCCAACTCTTGCATTGGAGGATGACTGCTCTAACCACTCAGCCACAGCTGCTCTACACAAAGAACCCAGAACACTTAGCTATAATTGCCTTTTTCTAACTTTAAAACAGCTTGGAGGTGGTTATTTTACCTATGAGCAAAACCAAACTCATTAAAACCGTAATTTCCATTTCGGTGGAGAAGATATAACTTTTAGAGATCTCACTTAAACACTAATGGGATATTGGCGTGCCAATGCAAGGCAGACTTTATCACCTGGCAACAGTAATCTTGTGGCTGAATGGGAGCAAATCCCTTCAACTAGCCTTCACAATCTTATGGGAGGCTTGCCCAGAAGAGTGCAAGCTTCTATCCTATCAGATTACCGCTGGTGATTTTGGAATGGACTCGTGCATGGGTTTCACTTCAGGGTGCCTACTTGTATTAATTCCCTATTTGAGGTGCTCGTGATGTGATTTTCAAAGGTTGTAAAGTGAAAAATTACAATTATAAGGTAGTGAAAGATACCTGTGCCATGTAACCATGGGATCAGGAGATCCAGAAGTGATGCAGGTAAAGGTGACTGATTCCTGGTAGTCAGCTGTGGCATTGAAGGATGGCTGGAGTACTGACAGCACTGGAGGCACTGTGGACACAAAAGCAGAGCAGAGAACCACATATTCTGCATTAGGGTAGGGTAATTATATGAATCTGGACTAAAAGCTTTTCTGAAAATTTATTTTTTATATATAAAGCTAGAAACAGCCAGGTTAAACCTTTATGGGACCATAGGAATAAACTGGCCTGTTTGTATTTTCCTACTTTCGTTGGTAATACCCACAGGGATTTTCAAATGACATTTTGACCCAGCTCCAGGTAAAACGCAGCAGCCGAACACAGCGATGTGAAACAATTATGTTATTGTCTGTTCCTGAAACGCTCGGCTAAATCTGTACAAACAATGGCAAGACGGAAAATGTGTTTCAACATCAAAAACAACGGTAGCGTTTGTGGGAAAACAACATTATTCTTTCTGTCTAAATCTAAGTGCTTAAGCTCCAGCAGTTGAGCATTTTGTCAGACTAATTTCTGCACGGTAAACCAAACGTCTCACTGCTTTGGTTTTCAAGGTTAGTGGCTTGAAGGATAAACAAATACAACCTGTGGAAAATGAGAATTTTGATTTGTGCTAAAGTGATTACAGATAAAGCAACATATGTATTTTATTTCTTCATTTTATTTTGGAAAAAAAAAAAAAGGAAAGTTTTGACCGAATCCTCATTTACGGCCAATGCAACTGTTGAATTCCACGCCAGTGGAAATTATTACTGAATGTTGTTTTGAAGAAAAAGCAATGTTTAGTAATTCCAAGAGGTTATCAGTAAAGCCACAGTTCATTAACTGCCAAATGTTTTTCATTCGCTGAATAAAAAGTTCAAAAAGTTAAAACATCTATTTTTATACAAGGTTTTCATGACAAATGAGAATTTTAACAGAGCTTGAAACAATATTGGGCAGCACGGTGGCGCAACTGGTAGAGCTGCTGCCTCTCAGCGAGCAGGTCCTTGGTTCAAACCCCGGTCCAGGGTCCTTTCTGGGTGGAGTTTGCATGTTCTCTCCGTGCATGCGTGGGTTTTCTCCGGGTACTCCCATTTCCTCCCACAGACCAAAAACATGCATGTTAGGCTGATTGGTAACTCTAAATTGTCCCTAGGTGTGAGTGAGAAAGTGAATGGTTGTTTGTCTCGTTTGTCTCTATGTGGCCCTGTGATGGACTGGAGACCTGTCCAGGGTGTACCCCGCCCCTCGCACAGTGATTGCTGGACATGGGCACCGGCGACCCCCGTGACCCAAAATGGAATAAGCGGGTAAAGGTAATGGATGGATGGATGAAACAATATTTAGCTTTCCAACAAAGTTCAATCAGGTCCTCTGGATGGTTTCTCTTTTCTTTTTATTGTTGTTGATATGTTTCGTCCTTCATCCATAGGACTTCATCAGTCTGAGGAGCCACAACAAACAGTCCCACAAGCAGCACATCCACATAGTGGACTAGTCATTTTGCTGGTGATGAGATGGTTTCTGGGGCCCGCCCTCTCACCGTCGACTCCTCTGAGGCAGCCATAGCCAAGTGGTTCAAAACATCTAAGTTCATGATCCAGTTAGAAAATTCAACAAAGTCAGGTCGTCTGGACGATTTCTATTGTTTTTTTGTTGAGGCCTTTTGTCCTTCATCCAAAGGATTTCATCAGTCCACGGAGCGGCAACAATCTGAGTCCCACAAGCAGTACACTCCCATGGTGGACCAACCAGTTTGCTGATGATAAGATGGTTTCTGGGGCCCGCCCTCTCCCCCTTTGGATCAGTTGCAAAGGGATAATCCTTCTTTGGATGAAGGACAAAATGTCTCTGCAAAAAACAAAACAAAACAAAAAAAACCCATCCAGATGACCTGACTAAACTTTGCTGGATTTTCTACCTGGATCATGAACTTTGACATTTTAAACCACTGTGGCTATGGCTGCCTGAAAGGGGTCGACTATGTGAGGTCAGCGGACCAGTTGCTCCTCACAGTTCCAGGAACTCGTCTTAAGCGCAGAGGTGACAGGGCCTTCTCTGTAGCAGGACCAAGACTTTGGAACGAGTTCCCTCTGCTTGTCAGACTGGCCCCCTCCCTCTCGGTTTTCAAATCCTGTTTAAAAACTCACTACTATTCAGTAGCTTTCAACACCAGAGGATCTGTGTTTTGAACTTGTATGCTCCACACTGGTTTGTCGTCATATTTATTATCTGCATCGATTTTATGTCTATATTTACGATTTACTTCATTTTGTATATTGCTTCGTGTGTTGTCTGTTGTTCTGTCTGTACAGCACTTTGGTTGGCCTTGTAGCTGTTTTAAGTGCTCTATAAATAAAATGGTATGGTATGGTATGTGGGTGTGTTGCAGTTTGTTGCGGCTCTTCGGACTGATGAAGTCCTTTGGATGAAGGACAAAACATCTCAATTAAAAAAAAGAAACTGTCCAGATGACCTGACTGAACTTTGTTGGATTTTCTACCTGGGTTATTGAGCATGAACTTTAATGTTTAGCTTTTATTTTTTTTAATAAACACATAGATCACTTGTTAACCAAAAAAAGTGAAAATTAGGGGTAGCATTAAAAAAAAAAAAAAAAAAAAAAAAACAGTTTTAAAGAAACCAGAATAAAAATAGAGGTGCAATAGTAATCTCAAATGTCATCCACTGCTTCTTAAGTACTAGTCAAAAATATATTTATTTTTCATTGGAAAACGTGTTTACCCTTGCTTTTTAGCGAATAACTATTTTAAGTATGGTCTTTAAAAGAGACTGAATCTTTCAGGCTACTTGTGTACCATTGCTTACAAGACTATCTTCGAGAAATTAGCAGTTAGAAGTTTATTTTTCAATGTATTCTCAACCACAAAGATCAACAAATACATCTGTATTAGTATGAGGTTGTATACCTACATGTTGCACATCTATGTCAATCTGAACCATCTAATAGGAAAGTTGCTTATTTTAAACGTTTGAAATACATATATTTATTTAGTTGCTGTGTTCCAGCATTTCTTGGCTCGCAAAAATGTTAAGCCACTGTCATTGTTTCACTTAAAACTGCCAATTTATGAGGTATTTTAAAATTAGGTGTCAATCAAATGGTTTGAATAAAAATAGCGCGTTGGAAAAGACAAGTGACAGTAATGTAATCAACTGTAGAAACAACCAATATTAAAAGCTAGGACTAATGGGATGATTTTGACATAAGTGGCCAAATCCCAGTTCACTCCTTTCCCATTAATAGGTTGAGGGGTAGGGGTGTCCCACATCCTTTTGTGATGGTCAGAGAAATGCGTGTTTGTTTACCCTGTGGAGCGGGGCTCCGTCTGTTTACATTCACACTGTACTCGAACCGCGCTGGAGTCCTCTTCTACCGGACCGAGACCTAGGTTTTAGCCCGGGCCAGAGTTCGCCTTTTTGTTCCGTGACAGAGTTCGATTGCGCGTTCACACCTCCCTAAACAAGCCGGACTTTCTAGGAAAACGAGCTAGAGTTCGAATAAAGCGGACTAAACAGGGCTTGTGTGAATGCACCCTCAAACAGTAATTTCACTTCAACCTTCATTTATAAAAGTTGTTAGTCTCATTGAGCCTCACCATTTACAAGAGAGACCTGTTTGTAATCAGTTTAATCAAATGTTTACAGATGTTTAAGAACCTGTTAAAATACACCAAAATGTAGGAAATGTCAGGTTTTATTCCAAATTTTCTGGGGGAGGACCCACAGACCCCTCCCCCCATGCTGCACCCCCCACTGTTTGTGTTCCTGCATCAGTACATTTGCAAATTAAGCCCTGTCCATGCTGCTGTTGATCAGCGTATTGTTTTTGTACCGTTAGTGCTTAGTGTATTCTCAGCTTTACGTATTTCTTAGTCCACATCTTACATTTTATTACTTATTTTCTTTACAATTTAGACTTTTGTTGGACGTAACAGGGAACCTGTGTACACCATTTCGTTCCACCACATGTACCACATGTGCTGTGAACGACAAATAACCTTTGACTTTGATATAGAGACATTTTGACGTCACATTTGTTCACGTTTCATAAAATGTTATTTCATTTTCATTTCATAATGAACAAGCAGTACGCCTATATCCCCCACCACTGAGGTATTTGAATAATGAACGTTTGTAGTCTTTGATATGAGTGTTTTATTAGACGGGTAATGAACAGCGGATGTAAGTAATTCATGTTTTTGGCACAAGATATTCAAGTGGGAAGGAGGTACTCTGTATAAAAATAGAGGTGGTAGAGTTTGTTTTTTTTGTCCACGGTGGTGCAGGAAGATCTTGGCAATTAGAGAGAGCAACTTTATCCACCATCAGTTGCAATGGTGGAGCCAGGAGATTACCAATGGTGGCCTTGACCACTATAGAATAATCTTAAACCAGCCACCCCGCTGGCCACCCCAGTCATTTAAGCAAACTATATTTTTAAGCAATATAAAAACTTTAAAGCCTAATTTCCTCAAATAATTAGTGAGGCTGATATTTAGCCCATATGAGACTAAGTCCCTGGCAAAAACCAATGTAGACATGTTCTTTTTATTTTAGTATTCTACATTGCCTTATAACCTAACGGTTTTCTTTCTTTCTTTTTTTTTTATACAATTTTCTTTCATTTGTTCTTCTCAATTAGTATGATTCCTTTTATGATCGTCTACCGTTGTCATCACTCTTTGTTAAAATCAGGTCTCTTGTAAATGAGTCTCCGAGGCTCAATGGGATTAACCTGTATGAATAAAGGTTGAATGAATTTTGATGCGACAACCCTAAGGACAATTTTTTTTTTCTATCTGAATGTTGCAACAAAAGGTAACAAAGAGACAAAAAATATTATATTTGGCCATTTATTTAGAGCAGAAAATGATGGACGGAGCACATTTCCAATTTCCCTCTTTGCACCGCAACAGAGGACAACTACACAAAAGCTGTAACTTTTATGACTTTCTATTATTTGCCAAGGTGTAGTTTAAGGGTAACACTAGGAAGTGGGATTAAGCGTTAAGTGTCCAGATTCACATGGTCATATTGTTTTTTTTGTTTGTTTTTGGAGCTGTA